CTGGGTATGCCCCACTTGCACCACAGATGAGGGATGCCGGAGAGCAGGCTGCCCTGGGCTTGGCATCCCAGGGTCATGTCATTTGCCGGACTAACATGTTGAAGGACAGCCTGTTTTCAGCAGGAGACTGGAACTGAGCTTGGGCTGTTTGACCAGCTCTCCCTTACCTCAAGATGTTGCATTCCTGGCACGATCTACAGTTATTCCTGAGAACTACATGGAAAAATGGTGACTGGGTCGGTCCAAGGCCACCCAAACTGGAGGTGCTGTGGGGATGTTAAATTTCCCTGAATTCCAGGCTGTGCCTGCTCCCAAGGCTTCCAGAGAAAGTTGTAAGATGGGCTGGGCACGGTGGCTCACGCCTGTAATCCCAGCACCTTGGGAGGCCAAGGCAGCGGATCACAAGGTCAGGAGTTTGAGACCAGCCTGGCTAATATGGTAGAACCCTGTCTCTACTAAAAATAAAAAAAGTAGCTGGGCGTGGTGGAGGCCGCCTGTAGTCCCAGCTACTTGAGAGGCTGAGGCGGGAGAATCTCTTGAGCCTCGGAGGCAGAGGCTGCAATGAACCAAGATCACGCCACTGCACTCCAGCCTGGGAAACAATGCAGAAACTCTGTCTCAAAAAAAAAGAAAGAAAGAAAATCGTTAGATAATCCCTAGAGGACAGCAACAAGATGCTTGAGGTGGCAGCATTCAAGGGAACTCTCCACCACAACCAGAGAGCTGACAGCAGTGGCAGGCAAGAGACATGAGCACCAACAGGGCATGCGACAGGCACCTGCCATGCTCCAGACAGACTGCTGGTCATGCAGCAGTGAGAAAGACAGACCCATGTATTTGTTCTCATGGAGCTTCCTTTCAGGAATAGAACAAAGAATGTATCAATAAACAAGTCAACAAATAAATAATAATAAGTGTTGTGTTTTTGCAAAAATTATGACAATAAGAAAATACGACATAGGAAAATTATGACAGTGAAAGGAAACCTGACCTAACTGACGCCATCTTACTTCTAACTTCCAAGCTGCCCTTGTTCATTCCTGGGCATAGGCCAAACAAATTTGGGGAGAAATTTAGTTTATAATTTCACTCTATACCAAAGATAACAGCTCCCCCCTGAAGCAAACCTCCTTCTTGCTTAGGGAGCAGACCACCTTTGTGAAACTAACAAATTAGTCACAAGATTAAAAATTATGGCTTAGGAGTCATGCAGCCCGAAGCCACAGATTCCCAACCGCCCCAATTACTCCAATATTACTATTATAAAACATAAGATTGGTGTTCAAGGTATTTTTCAGACCCTGCATTGTGACGGACCAGCCACCCAGACTGGTAAACTGGCTCATCTGGTCTTGTGACCCCAACCCAGGAACTGACCCAGAGAAAGACAAAAGCTTCATCTCCCTATGATTTCATCCCTAACCCAACCAATCAGCACTCACCACTCCCTAGCCCTGTGTCTGCTAAACTATCTTTTAAAACCCTAGCCTCCAGACTGCACAATCCCAGCACTTTGGGAGGCCGAGGAGGGCAGATCACTTGAGAGCAGGAGTTCAAGACCAGCCTAGCCAACACAGTGAAACCCCATCTGTACTAAAAATACAAGTAATTAGCTGGGCATGGTGGTGCGTGCTTGTAATCCCAGCTACTTGGAAGGCTGAGGCATGAGAATCGCTTGAACCCAGGAGATGGAGGCTGTGGTGGGCCAAGACCACACCACTGCACTCCACCCTGGGCAACAAAGCAAGACTCTGTCACAAAAACAAAACACCCCCAAAAAACCCTTAGCCTCCAAATTTGAAGAGAGGCTGATCTGAGGAATAACAAACCCCTGGTCTCCTGTTTATCCAGCTCTGTGTATACTGAACTCTTCCTCTATTGCAATTCCCATCTTGAAAAATTGGCTGTATCTGGGTGACAGTCAAGAAGCCGTTGGATGGTTACAGAGTGATGAGCTGTGAAGGAAATAACATAAAAGGTGACAGAGAATAACTAGAGGAGGCCACTCTAGATAAAATGGTCTGAGTATTAAACACCGAGGAAGAATCTACAAAGGTAAGATTTGGTGCAAGTGCTTTCCAAGTAGTGTACAACACACACAAAAGCTCAAGCCCCCAAAAAGATTTTACTTTCACAAATTCTAGAAACTCTTAAGAGTGAAAAATGGTGGGGCCGGGCGCGGTGGCTCAAGCCTGTAATCCCAGCACTTTGGGAGGCCGAGGTGGGTGGATCACGAGGTCAAGAGATCGAGACCATCCTGGTCAACATGGTGAAACCCGTCTCTACTAAAACTACAAAAAAATTAGCTGGGCATGGTGGCGCGTGCCTGTAGTCCCAGCTACTCAGGAGGCTGAGGCAGGAGAATTGCCTGAACCCAGGAGGCGGAGGTTGCGGTGAGCCGAGATCGCGCCATTGCACTCCAGCCTGGGTAACAAGAGCAAAACTCCGCCCCCCAAAAAAAAAAAAAAAAAAAAAAAAATGGTGAAACAGAAGGAAGTGATAACACATTTTCTGACTGCAGCAGGCAGAAACAGGGCCATCACCGCTTCAAGACAGGATCTCAAAATACTAGGAAAAGTGTAAATTAAAACCGTGAGATATAGTTTTGTCATTGTTGGATTGGCAAAGATCCAAAAGTTTGGAAAGACCCCACTGGTGAAAATGTGTGGAAACCCACAGTCTTAAACATTATTTGCCAGAGTGTCAATTAGTACAGTGTCTAAGGAGGGCAATTTAGCCATGTTTACCCAATATATTAAAGGACATACCCCACCATAGCCAATTTCACCTCTAAGAATATTTCTGACAGATATAACTATCTGTTATGCATGCACAAAGGCAGTCCTTGGGATCCAGTTGCATTATTCCTAACAGGAAGCAACTGGGAAAAACTTCAAGGTCCATCCGCGAGGGCCCGCATAGCCTAACCTCTGTAATAACCAAATATCAGGGGCAATGTCCAACCAGGCGCTTTTGTGCGACCTTCCAACAGGAACCACATGCCCGGCTGCCAGGCCTGGTCTATGCATTGTCCCTGAATCCCATACAGTAAGCACTTGTTCACTCTCAAAAGTGTCCCATCCTGAAAATAAACTCTTGCCCACTTGGTGCTTCAGGAACCTGGGCTTCTTCCACCAATAGCTCTCCCAGATGCCCCAGTGCCCCAGGTGGGTCCATCCTTTAGGGCCAGGCCTGGCTGTAGTGCACCACACCGCCAGACGATGTGGGCCAGGAAGGGGCTCCGGCTCTCGCGGGAATGAGGGTGTCTAGCATAGGGGTGCACGTGGGCAACCCCCACCATGGGGTCCCTAAGTAAACCAGGGCCTGCGCCAGGACAGTCAGGAGTTGCAACCTTGGTTATTTCTAGGAAGACATCAGACAATGGGGTCAAAGGCCGGGTGCAGTGGGTCATGCCTGAAATCCCAGCAGTTTGGGAGGCCAGGGGGACAGATCACCTAAGGTCAGGAGTTCGAGACCAGCCTGGCCAACATGGTGAAACCTCGTCTCTACTAAAAATACAAAAATTAGCTGCGCTTGATGGCGCACGCCTCTAGTCGTCGAGAATTGCTTAAACCCGGGAGGCGGACTGAGCCGAGATCGTGCCACTGCACTGCACCTTGGGCAAGACCCTGTCTAAAAAAAAAAAAAAAAAAAGAGAAAAAAAAATGGGGTCAAGAAATGGGGGGCGGGGGTTGCGCTTCACGAACCTGCCTGCTCTGCTGTGGCTGCATTTCCGCCACACACTGCCTTAAAAAACGAAAAATGAAAAAACAGGAAGTAGCTATGGAAGCATGGGGGAACTTGCACAGGCCGGTGCCAGGGTCAAGGGCCAGCTCCGCCTTGCCGTTAGAAAACTGGCCAAGGGAGCCCCTAGGATCTGTCGAGGGCCTGCTGGAGACGCTGGGGGAGACAGACCGCCAAGACCCGCCTCTGGGCCGACGCCAGCCCAGCGCAGGATGGAGAAAACCGCAAAGCCGCCCGCGTAAAAGGAGGCCGGCCGCCGCGCCTGCGCAGCTTCGCCCCCGCGCCCCCTCCCCCACCGCCGCCCGCGCCTGCGCAGCTTCGCCCCCGCGCCCCCTCCCCCACCCCCGCCCGCGCCTGCGCAGCTGGGCCCCCGCGACCCACCCCCACCCCTCCCATCTCCCGCCTGCGCCTGCGCAGCTGGGCCCGTCTGTCCCGCCCATCCTGTGACGCCACGTGCATGTGGGCGGGGCCCAGGCGCGAGGGAGCAGTGGGGTCTCATCCCACCCGTGGGGGTCGTATCCCACCCGTGGAGGCCGCGGTGTCGCCGGCCGGGGTGGGGAAGCGGGAAGGACCGTCCGCCGCCTGCTCCCTGGAGAAGGGCACTCGCCCCCGTGACTGGGGCCGAGCGCGCGGTGCGGGCTAAGCGGCTGGCCGGGCGCTGGCGGGGGCGGCCGGCGGTCACCGACTGCGGGCGGCCCTCCCCACGCGGGCGCGCTGCGCGCCGGAGGACGACCTGGGGGCCACTCGCACCCCGCGTCCCACCTCCTGCTGCCTTCCTGTCCAGGCTCCTCTGGGGCTCCCTGGACGCCTGGGCTCCGCTGACCGGTGGGGAGCACGCCCAACGTTTGGGGCCACAGGGCGGGTCACATAGCTGGGACCTCTAGCCCCAGGGGCCCCAGCCCTGCTGGGTTCATTTATTCGGCCCGCGTTTGCTGACCCGCCCCCAGTCTGCGTCAGGGCCGGCCCCTCCGCTCCTGGATCAGCCCGCGGGGAGGCCTCGCGTACCAGTTCCTGGGGAACAGGTAAGATCAGGCCGCTCCGACAGGACCGAGGGTGTGAGGACGATTCACCCTGGCGTTGGGGTGGTGTCCGGAGGAGCTCGTAGGTGGTCAGGACGGTTATGCCCGAGCTGACCTGTGAGCCGCGGATGCCCCGGACTGAGGGAGGAAGAGGCCCCGAGGTGGAGAGAGCTGGACACCAGACCGGACTCCTTCAGTGGAAAACATTCAGCAGCCAGGAGAGCATGGAAAGGGAAGGAGAGATGGGAGGGCCCAGGGGGCCGTGGGAGGGAGGGCGTTTTTATTGTCAGTGCAAAGTGCAAAGGAACCAGCCACCGGGAACTGCCCGGGCAGCTCTGGGTGTCCCTCCAGTCATCTGTATTCCAGCATTACCTGCACGAAGGCACAGGTTCCACGTCACACAGGATGCGGGGAAGTCAGCTGTAGTCCGCAGGCGGGGAATCCGAAACCCCGGGCACAGTGCCCTGGGAGAGGTGGATTACAAGGACTCTTCTACCTGCTGTGCAAGAGCAGTGGGCGGCGGATTCCCCGTTGTTACCATTGTGGTGACAATGTAGTCATTCTTGAAGGACCTGGCCAGCATGGTACAAATCTCGAAATTGCTTTTTGTCCCGCTCCCCTTGCCCTGGAGAGAGGGGCTGGCTAATGTGTGTGTCTGCCTCCTGAAGCTTCGGGTGAACGACCAGGGAGGTGGGCAGCCCTTTGTGTCAGGAGATCTGGAACGCCTCCCCTCACACCATCTCCTGTGTGAAAGAAACAGCGGGTGCTGTTGATGGGCGGTTCTTGCACCGGTTTTTGCCAAGGGGAGAAAAACCCATTGAAACCTACCAGGAGAATGAGTGGAGGTTTCTAATGTGCTTTATTTTCGGTTACAACGTGTGTAGCAGGCATTTGCATTCGTGGCCCTTTAGTGTACTTGAACTGAAAACCTGGAACAAACTGGCCAACAGATTAGGCAGCCATCAATCTACATCAGATGGCGCCTGTATTTCCGAGAGGTGGCCTGCCATCCCCATCTCCTAGAAAGCCAGCCGGGGACAGGGCAGCCCCTACCTCCAGCAACAGTGCTCCACCCTTAGATTCTCCTCTCTGACTCCTACCTCCACCTGCTAGACGGTGGCCCCGGCGAGAGCCACACCTCTGTTTACCTGTGTGCACCCTACTTCCTACCCCTGCCTCTCCTCAGTCCCCATCTGCTACCTTCCTTACAGCCTCATCCTACCCCCTCTCTCCTTAACGAACAGACTGAGTTGATTGAGTCTGTGAGGGAGAACCTGCCCAACACATTCACGCTGTGGTGTTAGTAGTTCCCACAGAAACACCATTGTCCGTCCTGCAGGTGTCTCAGCCATGGACAATCACCTTAACCTAGTGGAATGAAATTGGTGGTTAGATCTGGGCCACAGGAACATGGAGGTGACCTGTACCTTGGGGAGAGGGGATGGAGTGTGATTACAAGACATCTTCCCACCCCTGTGCAAGAGCAAGGCTGTTCCTGGTTCTGTGCTTTCTCAACACTGTTCTAGCCAGGTGTGGTGGCTCATGCCTGTAATCCCAGCACTTTGGGAGACCAAGGCGGTCAGATCACGAGGTCAAGAGTTTGAGACCAGCCTGACCAACATGGTGAAACCCCATCTCTACTAAAAATACAAAAATTAGCTGGGCATGGTGGTGGGTGCCTGTAATCCCAGCTACTCAGGAGGAGATTGAGGCAGGAGAATCATTTCACCCAGGGAGGCAGAGGTTGCAGTGAGCCAAGATCGCACCATTGCACTCCAGTCTGGGCGACAGAGTGAGACTACGTGTCAAAAACAAAAAAATACTGTGTTCTAGTTGGACTCCTGTTTTTGTCTTCCTGAACTTGTTGTTGTGTACTTCCATAATTGTCTGTGTAAGGTGTGTCTGTATGTGAGTGTTTTTTGGATATCTACAGTATCTCAACTTTGTTCTTTTCAAATCATTTTGACAGTTTAGGGTGCCTTGGAATTCCATGTGAGTTTTATAATTTCTATTTCTGCCAAAAACATTGTCAGAATTTTGACAGGTTGCATTGAATCTGTAGATCACTTTGGGTAGTGTTGACATCTTAATATTATTAAGTCTTCCAATCCATGAACACAAGATATCTTTGTATTTGTGTCATCTTTAAGTTCATTCATCAATGTTTGTAGATTCAATGTGCAAGACTTTCATCTCCTTCTCTAACACGATTCCTAAGTATTTTATTCTTTTTCATGCTCTTGTAAGTTGAATTGTTTTAATTTCTTTTTTTTTTTTTATTGTTTATAGGTAGGGTGTGGAAACAACTGATTTATGTATATTGATTTCGTGTCTTGCTGAATTTGTTTATTCTAACAGGTTTTGTGTGTGTGTGTGTGTGTGTAATCTTTAGGGTTTTCTACATGTGTAATCCTGTGAACAGAAAGAATTTTGCTTCTCACTTTCTCATTTGGGTGCCCTTTATTTATTTTTTCTTTCCTAATTGTTATGGCTAGAACTTTCAATATTACGTTAAATACAAGCAAAAGCAGATATACTTTCCTGTTCCTGATCTTACATGAAAAGTTTTCAGTCTTTTACCATTGGGTATGATATTTGCTGTGGTTTTTCCTGTACAACCATTATTATGTTGAGGTAGTTTCCTTCTATTCGTAGTTTGTTGATTGTTTTGTTATGAAAAGGCGATAGATGTTTATTAAATGCTTTTTCTGCATCAATTGAAATGATTGTGTTGGGTATATTTTTCCTTCATTTTTTTAATATGATATATTACATTGATTGATTTTTCTTTGTTGAAATGTCCTTGCATTCCAGGAATAAATCCCACCTGGTCATGGTGTATAATCTTTTTATTATTCTGTTGAATTTAGTTTGCTGGTATTTGTTGAGGATTTTTGCAGCGACATTTATAAGGGACGCTGGCCTGTACTTTGTCTGATGTTGGTATAGCGACTCCTGCTCTCCTTTGGAGTCAGGAGTTTTCAGTTTTTGATTGTACCACTGTATTCAGCCTAGAATACAGTGGTACAATCATGGCTTACTGCAGCCTTGAACTCCAGAGCTCAAGTGATCCTCCCACCTCGGCCTCCCAAGTAGCCTGGGACTGCAGGCGCATATCACCACGTCCAGCTAATTTGTTGATTTTTTTCTGTAGTGACAGGTCTCCCTATGTTGCCCAGACTGGTCTCAAACTCCTGGGCTCAAGAGATCCTCTCATCTCCACCTCCCAAACTAGTAGCCTGCTGTTGAAGAAGCCTTACTGATAACATAAACAGTTGATTAACACATAGTTTGTATGTTATATGAATTATATGCTTTATTATTACTATAAGGTAACCTAGTGAACAGAAAATGTTACTATAATAAGAAATCATAAGGAAGACAGGATGTATTTTCTATTTATTAAGTGGAAGTGGGTTATCATAAGGGTCTTCATCTTCACTGTCTTCATGTTGAGTAAGTGGAAGAGGAGATGAAAGAGGAGAGGCTGATCTTTACTGTCTCAGAGGTGGCCAGGCTGGAAGAAAACCTGGGTCTAAGTAGATCTGCACAGTTTAAACCCATGTTGTTTGAGGGTCAGCTGTTGTCTGGTCCTGTTTTTTGTTTTTGTTTTTTTGTTTGTTTGGTGTTTTGTTTTTGTTTTTTGTTTTCAGACGGAGTCTCGCTCGGTCGCCCAGGCTGGAGTGCAGTGGCACAATCTTAGCTCACTGCAACCTCCACCTCCCAGGTTCAAGCAATTCTGCCTTAGCCTCCTGAGTAGCTGGGGCTACAGGCACATACCACTGCACCCAGCCAGGTCCTGTTTTTTCATCCGTTCTGTCAATATGTGTCTCATGATTGAGGAATTAATCCATTTATATTTAAAGTAATTACTGATAGGGAAGGACTTGTTTTTGCTATTTTGTTGTTTGTATATGTTTTGTAGCTGTTTTGTCCTTCATTACTACCTTCTTTTGTATTTAGTTGACTGTTTGTAGATTCTGTTTTTTTATTTCCTTCTCATTTTCTTTTGCGTATATGCTACAAATATTTTCTTTGTGGTTACTGCCATAAGGATTACATACCCAACATCCTAAAGTTATAGCAATCTATTTTAAATTGATATCAACTTTAATTTCAGTCAAACGCTCTAACCCCTCCTTTGCAATTCCATCTACCCCCACTTTGTTATTAATGTCACAGATTACATCTGGATATATTGGGTATGTACCCGTTAACATAAACCTATAATTATTTTTATGCATATGTCTTTTAAATCCTGAAGGAAATATTAAGTAGTGTTGTAAACCAATTGTACACTAATACTAGTTCCTTTATCTGTCCCTCCATTTGCTTTTGTTGGAGATGTTTATATTTTCTTTTTTTTTTTTTTTTTTTTTTGAGACGGAGTTTCACTCATGTTACCCAGGCTGGAGTGCAATGGCGCGATCTCGGCTCACCGCAACCTCCGCCTCCTGGGTTCAGACAATTCTCCTGCCTCAGCCTCCTGAGTAGCCGGGATTACAGGCACGCGCCACCATGCCCAGCTAATTTTTTGTATTTTTAGTAGAGACGGGGTTTCACCGTGTTGACCAGGATGGTCTCGATCTCTTGACCTCGTGATCTACCCGCCTCGGCCTCCCAAAGTGCTGGGATTACAGGCTTGAGCCACCGCGCCCGGCCGCGCCGTTTTGTTTTAACTTGCAGACTCTGTTTATCAGTCTTGTGAGGCAGATCTAGCGGCAGTGAACACCCACATCTTTAATCTGGAAATGTCTTAATTTCTCCCTAATTTTTCAAGGACAGTTTAGCTGAAGATAGAATTCTCTGTTGACATTTTTTTTCTTACAGCAGTTTGGGTATATCATCCCCATTGCCTCTGGTCTTTGATGTTTCTGCTAAGACATTGGCTAACAATGTTATTGAGGATTCTTTCTCCAGCTGAGTCATTTTTTGCTGCTTTCAAGATTCTGCCTTTGTCTTTACACAGTTTGATTATATTGTGTCTTAGTGTGGGTCCCTTCGGGTTTATCTTATGTGGGGTTTACTGAGCTTCTTGGATGTTTATGTTCACATCTCTAGTCAAATTTGAGAAGTTTTTAGCTATTCTTTCTTCACATAATTTCTCTACCCCATTCCCTCTCCTTCTTAAACTTCCACAATACACGTGGTGCATGTGATGGAGGCCCCTACGTCCCTGAGGCTCTGTTCATTTTCCTCATTCTTTTTGTTCCTCTGACTTGATATTTTCAAATGTCCTGTGTTCAAGTTTGCTGATTCCTCTGCAGACTCAAATCCCTCTGGTAAGAGTTTTCAGTTTAAGTTTTGTATTTCTCAGTTCCACAGTTTCTGTTTGATTCCTTTTTATAATTTCTTATTTTGTTGTCATATGTTGTTTTCTTGATTTCTTTTAACTCTTTATCTGTTTTCCTTCAGCTCTTTTAGCATGTTTAAGATAGTCATTTTTGAGTCTCGGTCAAGTACATCCAGTGCATGTGTTTCTTCAGGGATGGGTTCTGCCACTTCATTTTCTTCCTCTGCATGAGCTGTGTTTTCCTGTTTCTTTGTATGCCTTGTGATTTTTTTTATTTTTATTTTTATTTTTTTTGCTGAATTTTGGGCATTTGAAAAACAGCTCCATCTGCCAGTCTTTACAGGCTACCTCTGTACTGGGAACGGCCCCCACTGAATAGCAGGATCTGTCTCAGCCTGGGGATCAGCTCTGGATGAAGGCTGAAGTCTCCTCAGGTTTCTTCTGAGG